ATGTACAAGCAAAAAAAAGTGCTGTGGGTGTGAGATATTAATCTGTATTTGCTCTTCCAGAATGTATGCAGCACTCTGTGGTGCACTGTGGGAACAACCTGCCACTCAAAGCTGGATGGGGCTGTGGATGGAACGAGTTGTGGGGAGGACAAAGTGAGTTTTTCCTCTCATGACCGTGCCAGGAAGATGGTCGTGATGAGATTGCTTATATTGGTGTTGACAACTATCAGTTTTTTATATCTAGGAAGAAGAGTTTTGTATCTGGGTAGTCTTTTCTGTTTGCAGTATTGATTTGTATCTTTGTTTGACTGAGAATATTGGAGTCAACATATGGAAACAGGACAGTCTGATTGGTGAAGCATCCTTAGAAAGTCAACCCCCATTCCTGCAAATAGTTGTTTAAATTTCTATTCCTCAAAGAAAGGAGTGTAAAAGCTGTACCCGTGAGTTTTTTTACTGACACGTCTTGTGTCATATTCAGTGTAGTAAATAACACTAAATCAGTGGAGCAAGAGTACTCCCACTTTTCCATCATCCGCATTACTTAGAAGACAAAATACAGAAGAGAAAACTGAAAATGTTGAGTTCAAACTGTCTTATGATCTTACCAGAACAAAACAATGGAACTCTTTTTTTTTTTGTGCTCATGTATTTAATGATGAAACTTTTGTGTCATTTGTCATTAGTGGTGCTTTGGTGGGCAGTGCGTTGCAGTTGGATATTACCCTGAGATTATAAATGGCGGCTGGGCGTCCTGGAGCCCGTGGTCAGCCTGTTCGAGGACCTGTGGTGTTGGTGTCCAGAGCGCTGAAAGAGAGTGTGATAACCCAGTGTAAGACTCCTAGATATTTATTTAGTGCATGCAGTCCTGATATTTTCCTTTTTTGTAGAAGAGAAGAACACAAACACTGATCCTTTGATTAAATTTAAAGTAAGCTGTAGGTGTTTATATGCCGCGCGGCTATAACACAGCTCTTGCCTGCACGTCTTCCTTCTATTCTTTCTTCGATTTTTCCTGCCAAGAAAAGCAAAAATGCCCCAAAATTAATTTGGAATATAAGAGTCCAAACAATGCATCATACTGGATATATGTGCAAAATAAAATATTATATATTTGCTGTGGTGTATTGCAACTGCCTCTATTGTTAGGGTGTATTTGTTTGGTTATGTTATTTATCACTATTGTGCGTTATTCAGTTTTGTTTTCTTAACTTATTAGTGATTTTTTTTTTTTAAAACTCTGTCTAACATTGTGCACACAGATGTGTTTTAATTGTCGCTCGGATGCCTGACACCATTTTCAGTAGTTACTTTAGATTAATTGATATAATACATTATATAATACATTATATCTGGTTATGCTACACAGTAATAAAACAATAATCCTTATTCCAAATGCTGACTTTGAACAAAAAAGAAAAAAATAAACAAGAAATTTTTACTTTAATTAGTTATATTAACATTAAAAGGAAATTTTCATGTTAATGGCATTAAACATTAGGACTCAGTGTGTGCATGCCTGCTGTGTAACTCTGTAACTGTTGTTTGCCACCTGACTCAGGTGTACATTGCGTACATTTACAACAATGATCCTCATCAGTCATATCTCTGTGTCAGTAATACTTAACAGCTGTAACTAATTCCTGAAGTTATACTGTTGCCATATGGCTAAGTGCACACATAGATCCTGTAGGTAACCTTGCGTAGCTGCAGTAAACCTGGATGGCATTCTGGTGAGGATGAGCTCGTACAGGCAGATCTGTGTGTGACTCTGCAGAGTATACACAACTTCTGAACTCTGTGAAGTGATTTAAGGGTCCGGTTCGATACCGAAATGTAGA